GCTTGAGCCAAGGAGTTGGAGGTTGCTGTGAGCTGTGATGCCATGGCACTCTGCCCAGGGGGATAGCATGAGGCTCCGTCTCAAAAAAAAAAAAAAGAAAGAAAGAAAATCACTGCTCTAGCACATTGTCAGAAGGTATTCCACATGCCTAAAAAAGAGAACAAGGAGAATTAATAGCTCTTTTGTGTATATGTAACTTCTAAGTTACATATACACATAATATGTTTATACATATTTGTGCGTGCATATATATATATACACACACACATAGATATATACATAGTATATCTTTGTTTTAATCTTCCTTACACATTTCTTTTTTATTTCAGACTAATGTGAAGTTACAATTAGGCTATATTTGCATTTGTTAGGTAGTGTCCCTCTTGTAGTTGTGTCCTGTGCCCAAAAGGTGTGTAATATACCCTTACATTGTGCCCATTAAGTGGAAGCACACCCCTCCCTTCCCCTTGTCCCCTTATCCCCTCTCTCATTGCCCCCCCAACTTGAATTGAATTGCGTTTTCTTCTTATGTTTCACCATTCGCTTTTGAGAGATATTATCCCTACATTACAGGTGAAGAAACGAGATTTTCATAGTTAGAAAGTGGCAGAGATGGATTTGAGCACAATTTCATATGATTCATGTATCTATGCAGGCTATATAATAACTTGCCACCAAAGTGAAACTATGTCCATTAGTCTTGTATTTAAAGAGCCTATCAGGAAGAGAGAGAAAGAGAACTCTACATTTCCTTTTAGAAAGAACATTTCTTCTTACTGTGATGCAAGTAATCTTATTATTATAGAATGAATTCTAGAAATGAATTTCTCACCTAAATCTACCCTGAAGTCATGAATTTTATTAAATAATAATATAATTTTTTCCTCTTTAGTTACATATAGCTCAGTTCAGTTCAACAGATACATATCAAGTAGCTACCTTATGCTATATTGGGTATAAAAGAGACCCAAAGTAATTTCAGATTTCAGAAAGAAAGACAATTCAAAAAGATAAGATATACACTTAAACACACACATGTACACACGTACACCAGGTAAAGGCAGTAGGCCTCATCCTTAACATACTCAAGTCTGAAGATCTCTTTAAGATAATACTAGATTTCTCTTTGCTTTGAAAATTTTTAACCAGCATATGGGTTGGAGGTGTGCAAATGCTCAGTTATCTTTAGGATATGACTGATTCCTTCATTTCCTATCAAGGTGCCGATGCTACTAAGAATGATGGTATCTACTCAAGGTATTTTACAGCTTACGATGCAAATGGTAGATACAGCGTGAAAGTGTGGGCTCTGGGAGGAGTTAACGCAGCCAGACAGGGAGCAATATCCCCACGAAATGGAGCTATGTACGTGCCTGGCTGGATTGAGAATGGTAAGTAACCTATAATAACACGCCTGGCCTGTGTAAACCCTTGAGGTCAAGAAAAAAACCATGAAACCTATAGGCAGAATGGTCATGATTAAATCAGCATTTCCCAACCTTGGCATTATTAACATGTTAAGCCAGGCGATCCTTTGAGCTTTTCAAAAGAACTAGGTAGTCATGCATATATTAAGAAAATAGGGACTTTTTCAAAAATATAACATTTTGGGACCCCCTAACATGAAACGATTCTAGGAAAAACTGCACTCTAACAAAATATAAAATATGAATACAGAGAAAGCAAAAGAAATATGCACAGAATAAATCATCAAAGAGATCCTTGAAGGCTCAGACGGTTAGTTACCAAATACATGAGGAAGATAATGAAACCCACAATATAGAAAAGATTTCTTAAAGCAGTCACAGTTTAAAACAAAGGCAGTATTTACAATGGACCTGATGGAAGGGTGAGATCAGGATAGGCAAAAAGACGGAAAAAAAACAACTCCAGAACAAATGTTCTGAAACAAATGAAAAAAAATTCCAAAAGGTTGTTCTGCTAAATATCCAGGAAATATCTGTGAGATAATGAACTGTGATTCTCTCTTAGCTTTTTTCCTTTTGATTTGTTTTGAGGTCTTATCATCAAATATTTAACATGAATTTTGTGTGTGAGAGGAAGGAAGGGGAAAGAGAGAGCAGGAAGTGGGTGATTCGATGAGAAAACAAAGGGGGGAATTGACATTTAGTGGTGCCGCTTACCATGATTTCGGTAATTATTTAATGCAGGTGAAGTGATATGGAATCCACCAAGATCTGAAACTGATAAGAATGATCCTCAAAACAAACAAGTGTGTTTTAGCAGAACATCCTCCGGAGGTTCATTTGTGACCTCTGATGTCCCAAAGGCGCCCATACCTGATCTCTTCCCACCTTGCCAAATCACCGACCTGAAGGCGGAAATCCAGGAGGGCAATTTCATTAACCTGACTTGGACAGCTCCTGGGGATGATTATGATCACGGAGCAGGTAAGCTGGCCGTGGTGTGAGCCCTGTAGAGGAGTTTATCGGCCAAGCAGAGGAGCAGAAGAGGGTGAGGCAGGCGGGCGTGTTATGGTGTGTGTGGGGAACAGAAGGCAGGAGAGAGTTTGGCGGTTGTCTGAAAAGAAAGGTAAAGATTGCTAAGTGAGAGAGGCTTGCTATCTAAAAAATGGCCTACTTCTGGGACTAAAAGGTTACAGTCAGGAAAGGTAAACTTCACTTTTTTCTGAAATCTTGCTAAACTTTTCTTTAATAAGCCTCAATTTCAGTAAAGATTCCTAGGGAAGAACTGGGAATAAAACCTAGTTATCTATGAAGTGGAACTGTCTTTTGGAAGAAATCCCAGTTCCTACCAGAGTTGTTCCCTCTCCAAGGACGGCCTGTTGGCCACCAGCTGGGCATCTCAAGAACACTAGTTGGAAATGCCCAGCCTTGGGTCCCCTCCCAGACCTACTGAACCAGAAGCGGCACTTTAAGGTCCCTGAGTGATTTCTACACACGTTACACTTTGAGAAGTACTGGTACAAAAATCCCCCTGTAAAGTAATAAAATAATAAACAGTAATTAAACAATATCTCCTCTCAGTCAGGCACCATGCCAAGAAATGCTAAGGCTTAAAGTCAGGCCCAATCCAGTTTTATATTTATAAGTTTGTCTGAATATACAAACAAGAATGTAAAAGAGATACTAATCCCTTGTACATATGGACCGTTGATTTCATTTCAGGAATGTTAGGGGATTGTGATACAGTTTCTAATAGACTTTTTAAGTTTATGTTTATTTGGGGATTTTTTTAGCTCTTTAAGATTTGAGAATTACAATTCACTTCCTTTTCTTTTCTTAGCTCACAAGTATATCATTCGGATAAGTACAAGTATTCTTGATCTCAGAGACAAGTTCAGTGATTCTGTTCAAGTGAATACTGATGATCTCATCCCGAAGGAGGCCAACTCTGAGGAAGTCTTCATGTTTAAACCAGAAAACATCACTTTTGAAAATGGCACAGATGTCTTCATAGCTGTTCAGGCTGTTGATAAGGTTAATCTGAAATCGGAAATATCCAACATTGCACGTGTATCTTTGTTCATTCCTCCACCGCCACCTAGTCCTGGCGATACTTGTGTTTCTTGCCCTACTATTAGCATCAACAGCACTATCCCTGGCATTCACATTTTTAAAATTATGTGGAAGTGGATAGGAGAACTGCAGCTGTCGCTTTCAGGAGATGAATAAAGTAAACCATCTGTCCTTCTTTTGATCATAATGTTTTCTAAAATGTACTTCAGATTTCATATAGGGGATGATAGAACGAAATAAAATGCTAAACAGTTGGGTTGTTGAGCTCAATCTTTTATTATTAATGATTTTGCATACTAGAAAGAAGGGCACTTGTATCAATAAGTGGAGGTATCTTTTTATTTGCTTCAAGGGGCTTTGCCAGTTAAAAAGGACTTGGGATTGTAGTTACTCTAACAGAGTTGCTAGAAGTTGTTTGGCTTCTTTTGGTGAATGATGCCAGAAATGGCCAAATCAAATTATTTAAATACAGAAGGCATGACTCATTATATAGGAATTTGGGGCCAATATCATCAACATCTTTTCTCTAGATTTGACCAAGGATGATGCACTGAAGGGAGAGATTGCATTATAATACAGGAACTACAGTGTTCAAGGAATCTTACAGTAAAATTTCACATAGACAATCAAATTTAGCAACATAGGCAAGAACTAAATAATGAAGACACAAAAGCCATTGAATTAGATAGCCTAGGTTATTATAATGGAGTCATTATAATGGAGAAAAATCTATTTAACCTGGTTCCTAAAACCTAAAAGCCAAAAGGTATGTAAAATGGCTCTTCCTAATCTGTTGTAATTGCCACTAGAGATAAACCTTTGCCTTAATTTCAAAAGCAATTCAGAATCCATAGGGAGCAGGGGTCTGAAAAAAGTGCTGATCTGAGGAGAATGGACAGCACAATTCCAGCTCCAGAGGGCACACTACTATGTACAAAGTTCATGCATGATTCAGGCCTGCGTGGGAAGCAGACACTTCTACTGTTAGGGTGGGGCAGTGGGACCCTGGACAGTACTTTAAGGACTTAGGTAACTAGTCCATTTGAATAAGGCCTCCATATCAGAGGGTTGGAAAGCAGAGAACTAACACTACCACCATCACCGCCACCAACCGGATGGAAGGAGGTGTAAGGGAGGGAGAGGTGAGCAGGGTTTCAGGGCTTTGGCCAAGAATAGAAAGGTGTGACATTATCATCACCATCATGATTCATTATTTTATCTGACAGTGACAAGAGACACCATTTCTGTATTCTTTTACAAAATGCCAGACGCTAAGTGCTTCACATACTCACATCCAGGCCTTCTACTAATATGCATATTCGAGGGTTCTGAGCCAAGAGCACGAATGTTGATCCAGGTACTGTGTGCCTAAGCATGCAAACATTATAACCAGGCTAACAAGCTGTTAAAATGTATCTATCTCCTACTTTGACAGATATACCTTAATCATGACCTGGAAGGCCAGATTCAAATTTAAAATTCTTTTTTTTTTTTTTTTTTTGGAGACAGAGTCTTATTATGTTGACCTCTGCCAGAGTGCTCTGGCATCACAGCTCATAGCAACCTCAAACTCTTGGGCTTGAGCGATTCTCTTGCCTCAGCCTCCCAAGTAGCTAGGACTACAGGTGCCTACCACAACACCTGGCTATTTTTTTGTTGTTGTTGTCATTGTTTAGCAGGCTCAGGCTGGATTCAAACCCACCAGCCCTGGCGCATGTGGCCGGCACCCTAACCACTGAGCTATGGGCACTGAGCCAAATTTAAAATTCTTATAAAGCTCTCAGTGGCATGTCAGAACACAGCAGCTCAGGGACAGATGGACCGTGGCCACCCTTACTGTGTCACTTGTATACATGTTCCTGATGCCTCATGAGCACAGAATTTGGGTGGACTCACAATGCATGCAAGGACCACAAGACTCAAAAATGAATACATGGTAAACACGCCGTGTCTAGCACTGAGTAAGCAGGTGTCCTGACAGCCTTTTCTTCCTTCTTTCCTCCACGCTGCAATCTGAACCCCAGGGGGCCTTATGTACATGGGTGTGTCCCTGTCAGCTCACACACCATATCAATAGCTGCCCTTTGTCTATCTTTCCAACCTGGAAGTATACATATCTTTGTTGCAATCTGTCCTAGAGATAACTGACCCCAGTACCCCATCATTTTTGGCTCATACACACCTTGGAAGGAGGATCAGTTACTCATCAAGGAATTTCCATTCAGGCACATGAAGCATCTTCTAGAAAGAGAAAGAGGGGGGCACTCACTGAAAGGGCACACCTTTTGGCCCTGTGATTCTTCACCCCATCAGAAAAGAAAAGGACCAGCTACATAAATTGGGAAAACCAAGTGTAAAATGAAAATGTAGGACCCTTTGTTCAAATAGAATAAAAAAGTATCATTAAAGCTACTAAAATATCAAAGTTGTTTCCTTTCCACAATGTTCCTCAGCTTGGATGGTGTTTTTTGATGGTCATTTAATGTTGTTCTAGATTAAAACAAATTACAATTTCAAAGTATTGATATGAATTCACCACTCATATTACGCAATGCCAGTTTTAAATGCAAACGTAGGAGGATTTAACTTGTATCTTGAATGCACAATTTACATTTTGTAGCTCATACACACATATGTGCTTGTTTTTGTCAGAACAATGTACATATTGCGCAAACCTGGCTCAAGTGTTTTTATTTCACTTGATATGTTCACATTAGACCAACACTCCACACTTGGCTTATGAGTAAGGAAGGGCTAAAAGGAAAAGAAACTGTGGACCCTCCCATCGTTTTCTTTCCTTTTATGTTATTTTCAGCATAAGCAGTTGGCTAACACAGGGAAGTAAAACAAATAAGAAAGGATGGATAGAATCCCTTGGTTGTTTATGTTTCTTAAAATGCCATTGTCTTTTTCTGTGTTTGAAGAAAGTTCAGGTTAAAACTGAAATTGTGGCCTCCAGGCCTTGAGTGTGGCTCACTCAGACCTAGACATCGTGTGTTTGCCTTGTACTCATTTTGAGTCTTGTGTAAGGTGACCAGATTTTAACATTGGTAAAGTGGGACACCATGGGGGGGCCGGGGGGGGGGCCTGACAACAGTGCAAACTTTGAATAAGCAGTTCTCGATAATCACTTCTCAACAATTATTTGTTATTATTAAAGTTTAACATTATAAAATTAACAAAAATAATATAAAATGCATATCCTGGTGAAATAGCTACATGGCAGCCGCATGTATTCCCTTCCTGGTCTCTGTGTTCCCTAGCTTGTCATGCATTCTTTCCAAAAATTGGAACTTTTTTAAAACGCTGCAGGACGCAGGACAAATTGTTAAAAATCAGGACTGTCCCACCAAAAGCGGGATGTCTGGTCACCTTACTCTAGAGAGGAGGGGGTTACTTGTTTGTCGGAGATAGTTTGGCTCCTTCTGAGCTAATTGTCCTTGCCTAGAAGCAAGGGAGGGAGCCAGTCTCCTTCTGATACCTTGCCCAGGAGGGGAGTAGGGAGTTTACATTAGCCTTTCATTTCCAAATGAAGTTACATTAACCTCCTCACTCCCAAATGGAGTTACATTAACCTTTTTAGCAGCCGAAAACCATATATTCCCTTCCCAGTCTCCCGCTGTTCCCTAGCTGTCATGCATTCTTTCCAAAAATTGGGACTTTTTTAAAATGCCGCAGGACAAATTGTTAAAAATTGGGACTGTCCCTGCTAAAAGCAGATGTCTGGTCACCTTAGTCTTGTGGACCTTCCATACATTGTGAGTACACCTGAATTCTGTGCTTAGGAGCATCAGGAATCTATACGTAAATGGCATAGTCAGGAAGGAGACCAGCGTATTACACCTGTATCCTCTGTCTACACGCATTCTCCACTGCCCCTCCAGACTTCCCTTACAAAATACAAGTTCATACATAAAACTATTCAAAATTTCAAGACAACTGTTGCACAGTAGTAAACCAAGCACAGGACCCTCTGAGCTCAAGGCTATAGGGGTCTCACACCCACAAAGCCATCACCGGGAGAAGCAGGGCCAGCAAAGGGCCCTCTACAGCGAAGGAAGGCCTATCACAAGGCTGTGTAAACAGGCTACAAAGCCTTAGGGCGTTAAATGATCTGCCTGCAATCTCATTTGGTAAGTGACTTAAGCATTATTTAAATCAGAGTTAGTCTGACTCTGGAGACCAACATCTTTAATCATAGTCCCTCTTGAAAGAGAAACCCAGTTGCATGAACTGAACCAACATTGTACATGCCTCAGATTTTCAGCTGCTCTAGGCCCCATAGCCAAGAGGCATTTTCAGGTTAACTTGGTAAACTCAATCCAGAAATACAGTCACAATTACACTAATGCTATTCACAAGACATTAGCTCAATGTATAGATAGGAGGCAAGCTACTTTCTGCAGTACTAACAGTTAGAATACTTATAATAATAACAAAAATTCTTATTATTACTTAGAAGCAATACTTCTCAGAAGCTCTCAAACTTCTAAGCAATATTAAGAACAGCAAGGACACATGGAGTTGTTTCTAGTACTAGTAAAAAGCCAGGCATTACTCTAAGAGCTTCTGCTACATTATCTCAATTTTCTTCATGGAAACTCTGTGAGGTTGGTGACATCCATATTTTACAAATCAGGAAGCTGAAGCAAAGAGTGGTTCCACTGACTGAGTGAGGTTATACGGCAGTTAATGACAAAGCCCGATAGTTGAACCCAAGTGGTCCTGCTACTCTGAATCACCTCTCCATGTGCAGGATCCGCCTCTACGTTAATGAGTTATACTTGCAGGCAGCTGGAACTACAGTTACTAATCCAGACAAGGTAAACAATAAATATGTCACTGGGTGTGGGGACTCACACCTGTAATCCTAGCACTGGCTACATGGGTGGATTGCTTGAGCTCAGGAGTTCCAGACCAGCCTGAGCTAGAACAAGACCCTGTCGCTACTAAAAATAGAAAAACTAGGCAGGCACTGTGTCAAGTGGCTATAGTCCCAGCTACTTGGAAGGCTGGGGGAAAAGAATTGCTTAATCCCAAAAGTTTGAGGTTGCTGTGAGCTATGATGCCACAGCACTCTACCAAGGGTCACAAAATGAGATTCTGTCTCAGAAAAAAACACACACACACAATAAATATTTTTAGAGTGGGGGTACAGGAGACTCTACTAACAT